CCACGAAGAAAGGGAAGAAGATCGTGCGTTGTTCTGTTGGGTTGCGTCGAGATAGCAGTCAAAGAGGAAGAAGAGACATAGTGCTCGCGGTCAGAGGAAGAAGAAGACCCGGAAGCAAGCTCTCCATGCATTAGGGAAAAGAGAAGAGGGAGAAGACAGGATTTGTAGTGCTTGCATGTGGGAAGGAGAAGGGGAAGGGACAAGGGTTTCAAACTCCTCGTAGGATCAGTGTCGTGCCCTTACCATGCGAAGGAAAGCAAGATGCGAGCCAATTCGTGAGTGAAGAAGGAAAACCGACCGAGTAAATAGGTAAGGTAGGAAGCTTCTATCAAGTCAGACGTCGAGTACGGTTGTTCGTGCATGCGGGATGAGACTCGCATTCGAACTGTGGCGGGTTGGTCGCCAAATGATTATAAGGTATGGATTTTAATTAAATTTATTTAATAAATCTCATAAACATATATATGTTTGTATAATTTGATATTAATATTATGTTGATTAATTAATTAGATATTAAGGAGAACAAGTATGATTTGGTTTAGAGCGTGGTAGAATTGACGACGATGAAGATAGAGGAAAGGTTTATATCTCTTTTAATTTATTTATATTAGTATTTTAATTAAGTTTCAATATGTAGATATTAATTATTATGAGTCAAAACTAGTGATATGAATTGGGAAGAGTAATTGGGTTTTGACATTGAAGAGTATTTTGGCCTTGCTAGAAGAAGTGAGGTAAATTCTACAATCTTATTTTTATAACTTCTGATTTAGAAGATATGTAAAAATGCAGAATTAATATGCATTTTGAAAGAATTTTAGGATCTTGATTTCGCGGCAATAAACAGGTAAAAGACTAGTAAAGAAATTAAGTAGATGATTAAGCTAATAAAGAGCTCTCCTAATAATTGAGGTGAGTAATTATATTTATAAACTCCAACAATTATCTCCATTTCAAATTGGATGTTTGATTTCTTGTATGCCCCAGTTCAGCAATATATTCTTCATATTGTCACACATTATATATATATGCATGTTAACTTCTCACACAATATGGTTGCATACCAGTTTAGTTTAGAAAGATATCGAATCATTGCATGAATTTAATCGAATATATATATATATGTTTAACCTCTAAAGTTTTAATAAATATGATATTCCAGGTTGAATTAAATGAAAATATGACATTTAATAGGACGCAATGGAGAAAAAAAATTCATGTAGCCTACCCCACTTAGTGGGATAAAAGCTTGTTGTTGTTGTTGTTTTGCATGTGTCATGGTTTATAAATATAGTAAGATTGTATTTACTCATCATTAGATAGGAGTTAAGTGTTTCAAAAGAAAAGAATGCATGATATGGAAGAATAAAATAGCTTATATATGAATGTTTGTATGTGCATGATTTGAGGAGGAGTTCATCACCTAATGATATAGACAGGGGATGCCAGAGTTTTGCGCAAGTATATGTTTGTCTACCACACCAGACAATTGTGATAATTAGATCACTAAGCGTTGAGCCGACGGAATAATACAGGCCAGGGTCCAGTAGACAAAGCTTACCACTCCAAACAATTATAGTGTTTATATTGTTAATCATTGTGCCGACGTGATAATATCGACCATGGGCAGATAAGAGCATTTTCACCCCATACAATTGTGATATTTAGATCACTAACCGTTGTGCCAAAGTGATAAAATTGGTCAAGAGTGTGTTAGATTTTGTTGACGGTGATCCTCAAATTGACAGATGTGTATGTAAATAATATAAAGTAAAAGTAAAGTTAAAGTAAATACATATAAAAGATTTAAAATATTTTCATTTAGAAAATATTATTGATACATGCATTAGAATATATAATTTCTTATAAAAAATATGAAATTCTAGTATATTATAAGATTTCTTATAAAGATATAAAAAATCAGCATACATATTAATTTTTTTTCCTTGAATTAATGTAATTTAAAAGTGTGATTACTCCTAGATTATCTTTAGATAACTCATTATATTATTTTAATATTTTTAGGTTCTGAGATTTTAAATAAGAAGAGTATGAGAAGAGATAATGTGTACAAGAGGTGAGAACAACCGAAACGGTACAAATTTCTACTTGGTAATTTTATTTTATTTTTTTTATGTTGTTTTATGAATTTTTGTATACTAAATTAGTAGTGATAGAGATAGAAAAGAAGAGAATTGTTTTCCACCGCCCGACTGTCTATTCCCGTCATGGTTAATTCCAAGCCCCAATTTAGGTCGCGGCACTAATAATTAGCCTTAATCAAAATTGCTCTCCAGTTATCAAGAGAGATAAACCAATGAAAAAACTTGAAACCCAAATCTTAAACTCCTCGCAAAATAAGGGTGAGATCTCTAGAAATTAACTTATCTACTATTTCATTTATCTTCTGAAAATTTAACCTAAAACCTTGTGTAAACTCTCTCATATGTAACTCTTATCTTATTTTCTTCTCGTGAGAAGCTGAGGCATTGAATTTTCAAAGCCCGCACCTTGATTAGATTTCTTAACACCAAATGGCTAACAAAAGCAATAATAAGCGAATGGCGTCTCAATTTTACAAACTTCAACCAAATGTGTGCCTTTTTGTCAACATGATAGTTGAGTATCCTTGTTGACTACTTTAGTACAATCAAATCCAAATGCATTTAAATGTTGAGAAGCTCAGTTTCCTAACTAATAAAGACACATTGTTCTTAAATCAATTAGTACCTAATGAACAACTTTCGCTTCCAAAAAGGAAATAATCCAAAATTTTGCGCCTGTAAACTTTTAGTAAAAGGCAAATCCAACAAGAAATACCTCACACAAACTTTCTCCACAATTAAGAAATGTGACATGAATCACCTTTGACCCCTGATCTAGCAAATTCCTAGGTTTCGTAATTTTACTAAATGGAATTGAACCTAAACAATGAAAAATTGGAGAAGTTTTGGAGGTCATGTCACCTCGATCAACCAATGATATTTGTCCATTAACCAAGAGATTGGCCAACCTCAATAATTTAATCTCACAACAATAGAGAAGTGTACACCAATCTTCAAAGCCATGAAAGTGTCAATGGAGACGAGAGAACTAACAAGTGTGAAAAAGCATTTTAAGAACTAAGAAATATTGGTCGTCAACCCACTCGTGAGCTGCATAAACCAAAAAGATTCATTTATATTGATCCACGGGGAGACACCTTCACATATAAAAGATAACTTTCTCTCTTGCCACTTGGGCAAGAGGCTTATGTCCTATTTCTAAGCATGTCAAAACCAAGTGGAAAGAAAAAACCATTGAAGCCAAGCTGTATATCAAAAATATGTCAGCATAAATCTCGAGAGTATATCACGACTGACGAAAGAAGATGATTTGGCATCGTGAGGGCCCGCCAGGGACAATCCGATATCCCATGCTGGTCGGCCAACTCCCATAGACCAGGAGAAAAGTGTTCCCAGACGGATGGTACGAACACCTTCCTAGAAATCAATTTGTCGGCACAAAACTCACAAGGATAAATTCGGCCCCTTCTTTCTAGTTCAGTTAGATGAGTGAAACAAATCACCTGGCCAAGAAAAAGTTGGTCGGAGTTTTACCCCTGACCCCGTACAAGGATAAACTCTCAACAAATAGTCAAATAGACAATTTGCACAGGGCTTCAAGCAAACGGCTACCTGACCAAAATGAAGCCAGGGAGGAGGTTGTTATGAGCACCCGGCTTTGTCCGGCAAGATGCCTTCTTAGGGACCTGGTCCCGTTAGGCCAAGAGCCTTCAAAACTTCTGGCCCAATATTCATGTATTAACTAAAATACAACCACTGTATCTACGCATACTAGGAGTACATTATGTAATTATACATCGCCTCATTCTTATAAATAGGAGTTCATTTTATGAATAAATGTTACACAAATTTACTATTTTATACTGTGCTTTTGCTTTTTCCCTAGCCTGTATTCCTTAGGCTTATCTCTAAGACAATTTTGGATTCAACAAAAGCATTTTCAAGCTCAAACAATTTGTAAAAGCCAAAATGTTTATTCTAATAAACTATTCTTGAGCGTGTATAACTACTAAAATGGTACTCTCCAACACTATGTCACTGGATATCGACTAATAAATACATTTTCCTATAAGGATTGTTATCAATAATAGTTTGATCTTGCATTCTAAATGAATCAAATGCACTAATTTTGTACTTAAAGAAAAATTGCTTTGTTTTTATTATATTCTAACCTTAGAGAATGTTTTTTTATATTCTAATTACTTGATATTGTTACACAGATACTGATTACTCTACCAGAGGATACAAAAAAAACAGTAAAAAACAAATTATAACGATGCAAGGAGGGAGCAGACTGGAATCAAACGCACGCATGAAATTCCCTTACATAAAGGCACAGATTGAAACTTCTATGCTCTTCTTTTTACTCACACTAGTGAGACAAGACAAACTCTGAGATGGGAACAGCTAAAGAAACAATATGACATCAATAAAATAGCCACCTTAATCAGTTACAAAATTCATAAGATTAAATCATAACTAGCTCTAAAAGCTGCAGAATTTGTATGAAAAACAGTAATCTTATTTTGGTTTAGAGATTCTACAGATAGAAAGAAAGTTAAGTCAAATTTAAGCAATGACTTCTCTGCCAGTAAATAGACAAGGCCATCTTAATAAGACATTTACATACGTACCACCTAATTCCAATATATCTACATATCCAACACCTAAACTTCACCTTTTACATTTTATACAAACCAAATCTTTCATATCACATGAAAAATAAGTAAGGCAGCATATATGTAAAAATTGAAGTTTGGGCGTTAGACATGTCAATAAATAGAAATTAAGTAGTATGTATGTAAAGCTTCCATCTTAGTATTGCTATAACATAATCTTTAAATAAAAAAATAAGCCACAGCTTTAGATCATAGCAATAATGCGCACAAAAATGAAAAAAAAGCAGGAGATAGAAAGTTAAAACACGTATGATACCTGCTGTTTCTCCAATATTGCAGTGCGTTCCTTCAGTTCTCTGATGGTTTCCAACAACTAGATATATGAATCAGTAAGCAAACAAGAAGTCTACATGGTTCAGGAATGGCAATATCAGCAATTTGTTGGTTACCTCCGCAGTTCCATGAGAAAGATTGGCAAAGGTTGAATTTGCTTGATAAACCGAACCAAATGACTCATTTAAAACCATGTCAATATGCCTATCAGCGTTGCCATCAAAACTATTTACTGTTACTTGATGCACTTCTTTCACAGAGGCATCTGCTAAAGGACCATTTTTTTTGACACTTCCTTGATGAAGATTGTCTGTATCTAGAGTTTCATTTTTCTCAGACGAGGTAGCTGAACTCACCTTGCTATGAGCTGAAAGTCTTTCCAGTTTGAGCAATACATTCTTATAATCTTCTTCATCAACTGGTCGTTTATCCAAAATTTCAGGAACTTCATTAAACTTAGCACCAGTTCTTGAACTTGTTCCATCTAATAAATCGTTTTCAAACAAATCTTCCCAGTTCGATATTGGCTCTAGAGAATCTATTTCTTCAGTAGCAATAGATGATGCTTTAGTTGGGTAACCATAATCATTGTTGCTATCATCCAAAGAAAGTATTGCAATTTTATTTTCAGTCCCTGAACTTGTAGCTTTTACATCCTTTGCCGATTTCCATTTTGGAACTGGCAGCAGTGGAAAAGGATTAGCTTGGCTATATGGATTTAGAACTGGCCGAGAAGTTGGAGGATACGGTTTGAAAAGTGCAATTAAAGATCTAGTCTGAGAGTGATCTAGCTCAAACCAAAAATGCTGTGATGAATAGTAGTTGTCTTGGATTACATTTTTATATTCATTTTCAGCGAGGCTTACACTGTTCTCTTATTCGGATGCGGATCTAAAAAAAAAAAATCATTCAAACAAAAAATAAGATATCCAAGATAAAGTTTTTTTTTTTTTTTTACTCATGCATGGACCGTTATATATTAGGTTTTGAACTCAAGACCTTATAGTCGGAGACAAAGCTGTCAACTAATAAGTCAAGTGGACTGCACGTCCATAATAAATAATGGCATTTACATACATCCCACACAATTCCTATGTATTAACATATCTAACACCTAAACTTTGCTTCTTGTATTCATACCACCCAAATCCTTCATATAACATCAAAAAAACCACCATTTTAAGTTTTAAAAAGTGAAATGTGCATTTGCATGTATAGGGAAGGTGCTATTTATGTAAAAATTGAAGTATACGTGTACACACATAAGAATTGAATGGTATGTTTGTAAGTCTTCCTGATAAATAAATTGTTGATTAGAACAAAGCACTAAAATAGAAATTCATAAAATTTTCCAAAGTAAGACCTGAGCAGGAAAAGCAGTCCTTTCTGCTCCCCCATCACTCCATGCGTATGCATCAATGTGCATTTGGCCATGACTTGCAGACTCGTATATTCCATGAAGTTTGCGATCACTGTAGTTGAAGTGAAATATTGGTAGACCTGGCCCAATATTTCTCACATAGGAGAAATGCGCAGCGGGTAAACCTGAGAAGGCAAGCTTACATTTAATGAAATTAATGGCGCAAGTTTGAACACTGGCATTTGCTATATGAGAGAAGAGGCCGACTTTGTAGGTAGAACTAAATGCCACCAAAAAAAATATTAATATTAATGAAAAAAAACACAACAAATTTTAAAAAAGAAGATTTACATACATAACAGTTAATTCCAATGTATTCACATGTTTAACACCTAAATTCAATTTCTACATACATACGATCTTATCTATGCATGAAAAGGTGTATTCAACTTTTAGAAGTGAAAATGGTGGTATTTTTTTATGTGATATAAAAAAAATAGTGAAAATGGTGGTATTTTTTTATGTGATATAAAAGATCTAGGTGGCACAAATGTAAAAATTAAAGGTTAGATGTTAGATATTCAAATACATCGGAATTGAGAAGCCAAGATTACATCTTTTTAAGAGTTTCATTTAATGAAATTAATGGGACAAGTTCGAACACCAGCATTTGCTTTAAGAGAAAAGAGACGGACTTCATCTGTAGAAGCAAATGTCACCCCCAAAAAAAAAAAAAATAAAAAAAATTTTTAATGTCAATGAAAAAAAATCACCACCAAATTTAAAAAAGGAAGATCTACATACCACACAAGTACTATGTATTACACATCTAACACCTAAAATTCAATTTTTACATATATACCACCCTACCTACACGTGAGAAGGTGTATTTCACCTTTTTTTTAAAGTTAAAATGGTTGTGTTTTTGATATGATTGGAAAGATTTGGGTGGTATAAATGTAAAAATTAAAGGTTAGATGTTAGATATGTAAATACATAGGAATTGGGTGGTATGTATCTAAATGCACCGTTGAAAAAAAACCAGTGAAAAGACTATATATCAAAGAAAAATAAAACAACCAATAACTCATGGACTAAAAATTTTGGATTTAAAAGCAAATGTGATGACCAACCAAATAATTGCTTCGAGAGACACTCTGGCATTGTCGTGTGCTTGCAACCAAAGATAACTCCTCCTAAATCATTCTTGCACATGTTCCTAAAATATATGTAGCCACCCTCAGAAGCTGGAATCCTGGTATCAACATGAGTGGTTTGAGTTTTCCTCCCTGCACCCATTCTGCAATATTTGGAGAAAACTTATGGACTAGTTTGAAATGTACAAAAGCATAGTTTGGCCTCCATCGAAAACAAAATGAAAGCATTTATAGGTATTATATCAAAACAACAAACATTTAAATACTACTTCGTATGATTATTAAATTTACAGTAATGGCAAACTTTAACAAACAAAATTACATGCATTTTGGCAAAAAAGGATTACAAGTCACACTTATTAAAGATGAGGTAATGAAAAATAGACTTAGACAATATGAGCATGTACAATGAAAAACTGCAATAGAAAAAAAATATATACTAATGTAAAAGGATCAGCACGAAAGATGGTAGACTAATCATAATATGACTTGAAATTGTGCAAAATACTTGCACAGAAAAATGTAGAAAAACTCATAAGCAAAACCCAAATAGTTAGGACAAAGCTAATAGCTACAAAAGGCATCATCTACGTAAAATTTCTATTTCTATTTTCTATAGGAAAAAAGCACGCAGAAATTCCATGCAGTAGAATGGAAAAATATGAGGTTCTCAATTTCATTCCTTCACCTGATCTGCACCCAAAAAAATAATAGATTCTAATGCTACCATCTTCCTATAGTTGCCAATAACCAGTCAAGAACGGAAGTAAAATAAAAGTTCCGCAGCAGTCTTGAATAGTGACAGCAGGAGGTCAAACCATCAGGTAGACAAGTAAAACATACAAAAATAGACTGACTATAAAATTAAAAAAAAAAATTTAAGTAAAAATTCTTGTAATCCATTTCTAATGAATATAAGTATATATTGTTAGTGCAGTCAAACCCTATCATTGTAACAGGCCAAACACTCATCAATCGAAATATTGTCCACTTTAACCCAATGGCCTCACGTTCTTTCTCATTGGTGTAATTTCCTAGGAGATCATACATCTCAAGAATGCTCCTGCATGACCACACTTAACTTTACAATTTCTATTGAAATTCCAACTACTACACCAGAAGATGTTTTGATGTTTAAGAGTTCAGTTTCATTCTACTAAAGGGTTTCACTTCCCCCGTTTAAGTAAGTGACGCTCTCATTGCCCTTCTAACCCACAATCATCCACAAAGTGGATATTTCTATCTTCAGACTGGTGTCATGCTCTGATATCATTTGTAACATCCCGAGCTCTTATCCTACAAAATATTGTCTGCATTTGCCTAATAACCTCACGGTTTTGTCCCATTTGTGTAATGTCCTGAAAAGCTATCCATCCCAGGAGTGCTCCCGCACAACCACACTTTAGTGTTTCTGATAAATTTCAACCCTTACACCAAAAGACGTCTTGATGTTTAAGAGTTCAGTTTAATTCTAATTAAGAGATTTCACGTTCAATAGAAATGGATCAACATATTCAGGATGTTCCTAAGTAGATTAAACTTCTCTCAAAAAGATTTTATGTTATTGTTGTCAGACCAACCCATGACCTAATTTAATTTCCACAGAAAATATCCTGAGTCATTTGTTGAGAGTCTGCAATATAGAATCCATTTAAATCACTGCATGGCCAAAGAGCCCGACTGATGAGCCCAAATAAGTAGCTTCAAGATAGTAGACAACAAATACACAAGAAAATGAAGTTCCTTAATGAACTATAAACACAGCAAAAACAATCTATAAGAAGCATATTTTAACTACAAATACTACTTTTTTTATTCCTTTTTCAATAAAAGGGCATGTCTAAATCGTATTGCAGTCGTCAAAGTATAAGTCCAAAGGAAAATCCACATAACAATTCAACTATTTGAGCTGTTAAAAAGAATACCAAACTGGGAAAAAAAATTGTATTGTGATGTCTTAGCTTGGTTTTCATGGAAAAATAAATAAGAATAAGATATAGATAGAAGAAACATGATAGAAACTGTCCTGGCTTTGGAGATAACTTTAACAAGAAGTGGATGGAGCAAGTGATCTAGTGAAATGCCGTGCACTTTGACCATGTTAGGAATTCTGTTAGAAACTGGATTTCAAGGTCAGCAAGCCCGGTTCAAGTCAAGATTATTCGGCTTAAAGATTGGTTCAGGCTGGGTTGCTCATTCCTGAATTTGTCTCAAGGAGCTAAATAAAACAAAATTTAATAGGCAAAACAAAATTGGTACAAGAGGTGGGACTCTTCATGGTTAAAAGTGCAGTGAATTGACAGACCAGCCCATCTTTAATCCCTATCGTCTTCATCCCTCACTGTCACTATTCGTTATTTAAAAAGGATAACACTAAGGTATCAAGAACTCTCTCAATTATAGCCAGCAAATCTCCCTCAATCGAACAGCCACCGCCTAAGCCTTCTCATTCTCATTTATTCCTTCATTATAGTTGCCAAATAAAAGCTCTCATCATCTTCCTTCTCTCCTTTCTCGCCTTCCCTGTCCTCCTCAGCATCATACGGCTTCATTGTTACATATTTTAAGCTCAAGTGGTTAAGAAGAATTCAACTTTATCAAATTTATAGTAGATTAAATATTTTTATCTATTGTTTAGGTCATATTATATTTGATTATGTTTTCTTTAGATACATAAAATAATCTTGATATTTGGATTAGAAAATCAAAGAAAAATTATAATTGAATCTTTAAATAGGATAGGTTTTATTTTTGTAATGATAATAATTAGCCTAGGTTTATCATCGGGTAACCTATGTGAATTAGATTTGACTACAAAGTTTTAATACATTTATTTAAGGCTTAATACAAATAAATTCTGGTTAAATTAAGTCATGCTGTCATGTGTTTGGTTACTTGTTATAATTTTAAACATTAATTTAGAATTCTTACTATTTAGGGCCTTTGAATTAGTATTCATTCAATGCTATATATTTTGAATCTCAAACGAGCGTGGTTTAGGTGTTGTAACTCAAGATAAATAATCTCTATTTATTAAAAGATAAACATAGCCTCTTTTATAATGGCGTTATTCTCGAAATCTCTAATGAATTTTGAGATATATTGTAATTTGCCAGTAATATTTTCTATATCCAATTATTGTTAAACATATTTCTTACAGCTTTTTATGTTCATAATTAGCTACCATGTGTAAATAGCTTTTGCTATAATTAATTGTTGCATAAATTTTCAAGCTTTAAAGTGATTCATATTAGTAAGATTTATTTTCACGCATAATACCTCAGTTGAATACAATAAATCTTTTTCATGCTAATCATGTTTTTATTATGAAGCTGGCATTTATAATATTGATTATAAAATACGTATTAAATAATTAATTAATATAAAGACAAAATGTCTATGTTTAATCACAATGGATATGTAGGTTAATATAGCCTTTTTAGATCTGGCTAGTTAAGCCAATAAGTCCATATAGTGATGACTCTTTTCTGAACCATTAGATTTTCAAGAATTAGTGCATGCCTTTCTGATTCAAAATGACATGGTAAAATTGAATATAAGAATTTATAAAAATATAAAGAAAGTATGTGGATGATTTATGAGTTATATTTGGATATAGAAATATAAATATGCCAAATGTGATTGCACATAAATATATTATCATAGAAATATATTGATTACATTTTTTAATGCAAATGATAATGAAAATCATTATGCTTTAGGTTATCTTAAAATACGCAACATTTTTCTGTTATGTTGTGCAACATAATTTTAACATGGTGATATGATGGCAGTCATTATACTGCTATTATATTAAGAATGGTATCTATGTTATTGTTCAAGCTATAAGCCTCACATAGTTCCGTTTATAATTTAGCAAATATGAGTTGTTTAGTAATTTTGATGTTAATCTTATTCTTGATAAAACTTTTGTTATAACAAGTTCTAATACAGTTTTTATTGAGTCATCACTATAGAAGCAGACTTTTCTTAGTCATTTCATTTGGCACTTGATTTTATGCTATATTTTATATTTACACTCGCATTGGCTTTACGTGTTCTTTGCTCATGCAGTTTTTTTTTTTTTTTTTCAATCTTTGCTCATGCTTTTTTTTTTTTTTTTTTCAATTTTCCTTTTTTTTGGTTGTTATTATTTACCAATTGAACTATTTTAAAGACTGTAATGATGAAATAAAATATTATCAATTCCAATCTCTGTGCATGTGTGTTTTTGCTTGCAATTATACATAAAAGATATTGTTGAGAAATTAGGGTGAAAAAAAATAAGAACGACACAAATCCAGAAGAACACAAAGAGATTTAACGAGGTTCGGCAAAGATGTTTACGTCGTCGGGAGCAGAACGGCGAGTTTCTTTCAATATTCAGAAGAGATGATACAGAAATCAGGGATACCTCCTGGGGTTACTAACATGTCTATTTATAATCTCAGGACTAAACCCTAAGTACAATACGTAATTACAGCATCACCCCTGTACCGTACCGCGGGGCTTTGTCCCCGCACCCCCAACCCACGTAACTCCCGACAGATTCTTCCACTCTGCTCCACTTCGATCCAACGTCTGTCCCTATACAACGTCTGTCCCTATAGGATATATGAGTCATACCATAACAAATCTTCACCTTGGCGAATATTCAATCTCTTAGGAGAAAAGATACCTGGGAGTTACACCTGCACCACTGTGGGTCAGGCCACCATGCTTCTCTAGCAACTGTAAACATTCAACAAGTCCAAGCAATGCAAGAACTTGTTGATAGTAATTGGCTTGGTCAACATATCAGCTACATTCTCATCAGTATAAACCTTCTGCAAAGGTATCTCACCAAAAGCAATCAACTCTCTGATCTTGTGATATCTGACATCAATGTGCTTGTTCTCGCATGGTACACCTGATTCTTAGCCAGATAAATAGCACTCTGACTGTCACAATGCAACTGAACTACACCTTGCTCAATGCCCAATTCTTTTACTAGCCCAGTAAGCCATAAGGCTTCTTTAGCAGCTCCATTTACTGTCATGTACTCAGCTTCAGTTGTAGATAATATCACAATAAACTGAATTATTGATTTCCAACATATAGGTCTTCCACCAAGAGTAAACACATACTCAGTTGTAGACCTTCT